ATTATTAATATTATTATTATTGTAATTATTATGGTGAATTATAATTATAATCAATCAATTAATAAATGTAACGAAATACAGTATCAATACAAGATTCCATGTATATTGCATTTATTATCTCTGTAATAATCTACTTTAGTAAGTCTAGATAAGTAAATGTAACAATAAAAACGATATATAGAAGCAATTCTCTTCATTTTTGTCGATAAATGAAAAATATTTATTTATATCTTATAATGAACATTTTTCCATATAACATTTATTATTGTTTACATATCTTAATTTAGAGAAAAAATTCTATTTTTCGAATCTGTATGTTGAAAAGTGTTCTAACTTTATCGTAAATTTTGAAAATTTGCTTCTATACTTTTTACATATATGTTTATATGTAATATTTATGCATTATGATTTTTAATAAGCGTAGATCGTGCTACGAGATAATTTAAAAAAACAATAATTTTGATAATTCTTATCGAAGCGAGTTTATATTGTTATATGTAATAAAACGTGTTTTTCAATTCGCCGTAAAGCCACGTGCGGTAAAAATTGAAGCGGAATATGTATAATATTATCAATATTATGGAAAATTAATTCTGTGGTAAAAATGCCATAATATATATGCATATTCTGTTTAAATAAACATCCGTTTCTGCTTTTGTTCAGTATTTGATAATAATGCTTCGCACTTAAAAGGTAAAATAATAAATTATCAAGTATCGCATTAAGGTTGCGATAAAATATCGTCAATTTGATTAAAAAGAATAATGTCCAATAGCTTCTAATCTAAAGATTTGAGATCTTCTAAGAATTGGAAATTTAATGATCGAATATTATTACATCTTCAACCGAACTATTGATATATTTTAATTTTATCTTATAATTTATTTTTAGTACGCGCGCGGAACACATCTTTCAAGATTCATTTAGAAACATTTATCCTTGCGATAATGATCTAGAAATTTGTATAATGACGATATGAAAAAAGAGACATTTATCTCGAGTGTAACAAAATTAAGCATAAAGATATCAGCATGGATATCTCTGATTCAATTACAATTGTGGGTGGTCCATATATATACGTCTTAAATATCATTGATTTCGCATCAGCACGCTATATCTGGAAATTACGCGAGTAAAAATCAAAATAAAGATATTATCAGGAGGCATTATCAGCATATCAAATGTTCGGTCAAAGATGTAATCGCCTATGATTGATCAATCGACTGATTTGTTGTCGCGCAGATATCAAAAATCGAAGCATGAGTCGAGGAAATTTTGTTAGATAACAGTTATTCGTACAGCATATTACAATTACACATTGCAATGTTACACACTGCACAATTCCACTAATTTTTATAATAGAGTGATTTCTATGTTTTTCATTTAATAAAATCATATAATTAATCTTGATATATTTCAATGAATGATACATTTATTTTAAATATCCATTCTTCTTTCAATTTATTTCTAAATATTTCATGGATCACTCTTTTGGTATGATACTCTACTTTTTTATTTTTATATTCATGCCTATATGGTATACGTTTTGCCGCTACCAGTCTGACCGTACGCTATGTAATTCTTTAATTATTTGTAATTTATCATTATTTGCTGTACACTCAAAAAATGTCTTGCTGATATAGGTAGATTTCTAGGTGTCACAACAAAAATTTATCGCTATTTTTTGTATCTGTTAGAATATTGTCTGTTACATATAGAATTTATAGCAGCAATATTCTAATAATATCTTCTAGAAAATTTAGGTCCCATTGCCAAATGTTAATCACTGCATTGGATAAATATGAGTTTCGATACTACAGCTAGAACACTCTTTGTGAGAAATATAACTGCCAATTAAAACTGCATCGAAAAATTGAGAGAAATTGTTTAAAAGAGCTAGATAGATTGGGCGCGTTATACAAATATGTTAGATGTGAGGATTATATATTTATTTGTTTCTTGCCGCTAATTTTTTCTGTGTACCACAGTCAAACTTTATAACAAGTATGATTGGCCTTACATGGATAGGCGCCACAGAAAAACATTCTTTCTAAATTTCACAAACAGTTCAGATATAAATTCTGTCTCTGTCACTTAGATTGATTAAATGCGAAACATATGCGATATCACAGTATTTGCTAATCATTTATGTACCTCAGTTAAATTTGCGCACCCAGAAAATTTTTGCTGTAGTTGCAATACCACTTTTTTGAGTGTATCTGTATTCTTTCTCGGTTTGTCAAAATAATTTAAGTACAAACATTGTATGTTTATAAATAGTATATTTATATTTTACCAGTCAACATTAAATGATCAAAGACAGTTTTAAATTATTTTGATGAAGAAAAAACATTTATCTTCACCATAATATAGTCCAACAAACTTTGTATTTTTTATACGAATTTGCAGTCCCATGGTGCGGAAATTAACGCTCACAATTGATTGGATCTTCTTTACGTTCGGTCCGCCGATTTCTATCCGCAAGTTTTTATTTTATCCGCACTGATTGTATAAAATTACTTATGAATAATATATATTATAAAAAATTGTTTGAATTTTAAATAATAATTGTAATCTTAAAGCGGAGCGCAATTGGCAGAATGTCTGCGATTGGACGGACTTCGTTCCGCTAATTCCGCATTGTGCATTACGCGTTCCGTACCATGGGATCTCACCATTATTTTTTCATTTCATGCACAACTATATCTGAGCTAATGGTAACATCTGCATGCGATTTTATCGACAATCGTTCATGTCAAAATCCCTATTATCTACGGATAATCAGACAACATTACCCAGAGGGGTGACTTTAAATAATTTTCATTCATCATGGCGTAAGCACGACATAAAACAGTCACGATTTCCGTTATGCATTGTGAAAGGCAGAGAGAGATTGCAGCTTTATTAGCAACACGGGACCTAACCGGATGATTACACAACGTCACTAATCTTTTTCTATATAGAAAATTATTAACTCACGCGACTGTCACAATGATCGATATCTATGCGCTGCGTATATAATTTATGAAAGAAATTCGAGAAGTCTTTCACAGGTAACTTTCAATTTTGAGATTATTGTATTTTTGCAAAATCGATTATCATTTCATTTAATTCGCTTAATCACTTCAGCAAATAATGACGTAAACATGCAAAAGCGATATACCGGAAGCAACAGTGAAATCTTTACGAAATTCTCGTCTCGATCGATTGATTTTGCGAGATCGAATTAGAAATTTGATTACGAGACAATGGAGACAGAGAGACCGTATAAAAACGAAGGTTTCCGGGTTTTGTTACCGAAATTCACTGGCAAGACTGATGTGAATTGACATAAAAATAATATGGGAAAAGAAATTGGACAAAACTTAAGAATTGCGAGTTTTGAATAAAACTAAAAATTTTCACACAGGAAATATTATACATTTAAATTTTACTTTTCTATCTGGAATATGTTCTGAAAAAAAAGAAGGAAAAAAATATTACACTTTGAAATTACTTTGATGAAATATTGAATGTATTTAATTGTAAGTATATATTATATATACAATGCACATGATTGTGTGTGTGTGTGTATGTTTAGAGATTGAATAGACTTATTATTAGATTTTTTCCCGATCTTTTATACTAATCATTAAACGATTTTGCAGAGAAACGTCTCTTCCATTGACCGCGCGCAATTCACGGATGCGTGTAGATACGGTTGCAGACGCGGTCAATCCGAATAAAAGAACGGTAACAAGATCAGCCGGATTACGTAAAAGCGGTGGAAAGAAGACGAAGAAGAGAAGCTCGAATATATTTTTTTTTTTTTATTTCATATCCAACATCGTGAACGAGCTGTACTTTCACTTTCGTAATTAACGTGGATGGCTGTAGCGGAGCGCGCGATGGCTTATATACACGCACTACTAAGTCTGACGTGGAAGGAGCAAAAAAGGGATGAAGAACGCGCAGGAAGATTATGAATTCTATCGTAACATACTCGAACGAGAGATTCGCCACTGCTTCTATCAATGTCACGAGACAATGAGCACCCCAGAATGACCGAGTTATTTTTCCAATGCGCAACTCTTGTAACAGCAGCCTCAGGTATCCTATCGCTCGTTCTGCACGGCTTGAATAAGATATAATAACGGCTATGACGGTATATGGTCGATTTCACTTTTAACCGGACTTGTGCCAAGGAGCCGTTGCTGCTGTATCTCTTTCTGTCTCCTCCCACTCCGTGTTGTATCTCTCTCTCTCTTTCTCTCTCTCTCTCTCTCTATCTCTCTCTTTTCCGGATGCGGCGTGAATTTGCTTTGTTCTCATCTTCGGGCAATCGATTCCATCAAAAAATCTCGTTACTAGGTTTTTTCACCAACGCGAATAAGAATTTATCGCGTGCAACGACGATTCCGCCAACCGGGGATGAATCAATGTTAAAAATCTTAACTGCATCGCTGCGGAAAAAATTTTCTTTGTTTTCATTCCGCATAAAGGAATAGTTACGAAACATATTCGATATTTCGTTTGGATTAAATTAAAAAGTTCGAAACTATATTTTCATTGAAGTTAATTGAATACTGTATAAACTGTCAATTATTTTTGCAAAGCGTATTGAAAAAAATAGCATTATCTTATTTTATCTGAATAATTATGTATACATATACAAACAGATCAATTTTAATTATAAATTTTTAGCAAAATACAACCGTAGAGAAAAAGGAGAGGAGATAACAGCTTGCATAAAAGATCATATCTTATAGATCATTTATTTTAATATAACAAAAAGAAAATGCATATCATGTCATGTGATCTCAAATTACACATTACACGTTTTGAAAATGTATTCTAAAGATCACATAATATAATTTCGTTAAGTATATTATATTTTTTCGTTATTTTTTATATTAGAGATTTCTTGATGATATCGATAACTTGCTTAATAATGTGCAGTCGCGCAAAGTTCACGTCGGGACGTAAACTCGCGGCGGTCGCGAGGCGAGAGCGTGCAACAATTCGAGCACGGCGTCGAGTTACACATGGCGGGCAACACGATATATAGGTTCACGAAGTTAAAGCACAGAAATTAGGAGCGAACCGTGTCCCCTTTCTCTTGCCAAGCCAAGCGTGATATAAAATACTTTCCCTCTCGTGCGAGACAGAACAAGAGCGGAGGGTCGAGCGCTTGAGAGAGGTGATACAGACAGAGAAAGAGAGAAAGAGAGAGAGAGACAGGAGAGGCAGAGAAGGACGCAGAAAAGCGCAGGAGGTGGAACTGTGCCTTACGAGAACGGAAAACCGGAAAATGATCACCGGGACTCGAAGCCCGTGCCGTTACTACTCTTTCATCTTTTTTTTTTCGTTTTATCTTTTATCCATTTCTTCCTCCCCCCGCTCCGGCCTCTATGCATCCTTCACTCAACACCTCCGACATTGTATAGTTCGACTCGTAGAGAGTCATGTCTAAGTCCGCGTTCGAGATTCTAAACCTCGACGGCCGCTACGCTGACTTTGCAGCGCAATCGGTCACGCGAAGTTTAGACACACTTCCGGCTACGCGAAGCCTGTAATTCTGCGATCCCGCAATCCGTTTCCTCTCGCAGAAGGAAGATGCGCGATCAGAGTATCGGTTTTAAATATTCAGCATAGTGAATTTGCGCGCGATAAATTTTTTAAGTGATTTGATCAGAAAATGATAAAGAGATACAGGAGAACAAAAATTAATTCGTTTTATTATATTTCAAAACAAATGTAAAAATTATTCGACTGATCGACAAACCACTCTTTGACGCAAAAGGTTCGTACAGTATATCTGTCAGGTAAAATTGGAAACTAAACTCTACAAGGACTATCTTGGTATGGTTGTCGCGGAAACGCTTTCTCAATAAAGCTCGCCGTCATCCGTATTTCTGCGACACGAAATCGAAAGAAAATCTTTCAATCCGAGAAGTTATTAGCCATTTACTTGTTGCACAACTTGTAAGCCGTCCAACCATGAATGCAATTCGTGGATAAATAATTCGCTTTATATGCAAAAAGTTGTCGATAATTAAAATTTGCCGTTCGTTTCCGATATCCGGATCCTTATACATACATTTCCCAATTTAATTAAAATAGATTATAACTCAATATCTTGGAATGAGAATATAAATGTTACCTGAAAGTAAAAAAATAAATATCCAATATGTTTGTACATGTAAAATCTTTTTTTCCAGACTCAATGAAAAACATTAATTATTTTCGTTTCAAGATATTATAAGATTAATATTCTATAATCAATATTTTTCGAAGAATTATATATATATATATCTTGTCATTGCAGATATTTATATATAATTGTGCTAATATTATATATAAATGTGCTTTTTTATTATATACTTAAAATTGAAACAAGCATTTTTGATAATTTTACAGATATCTATAGCAGATATTCCTAGGACTGTATTTTACTATGTCACCATCAACTATATAATCTATAATTACAATAAAAAAGAATGCCCGTATTTTGGAAGTATCAAGCCGACATGTTTTAAATTTACCGGCGGAGCTGTATCGATTATCGCGCAGTAGTTCACATATCGTGTCAAACTGCGCATCTCTCAGTCGAATGATCGTTGAATTCAAAGGAGGCGCCATTTTACATCGAAGCGTCAAGACGCGCAGGTATTTCTAATTCAATCTACTAAAATTAAACACTTTTCTCTTTTAAATGCGCTACTTTCTTTATATATCTTATTTATAAAAATTACAACAATTATATATATCAAAAAGTATCATACATATATCTTACGACGTAAATGCAAAATCTTTTTTTTTAAGCTGAAGTTAGACGCGCGCCTCCGTAACCAAGCATATTTCTCGCTTAAATAAATTCTCATGTTAACGCCTTACGTTATTCAAAGTCTGAATTCAAGATTTAGGGAGAGACGTTTAATAAAAAGATTTTTCATAAAAAAGAAAGATCGTATTTCTGTGTGTGCCGAGCGCTCCTTTCATGTTAGACGGTGACGACGCGTCTCGTCGCCGCGCAAGTCTCTCTCTCTCTCTCTCTCTCTCTCTCTCTCGGGGAGGACGGCCTTCTCCCGCGCGTGCACGGCCGTGTAACGATCGCGATCGCGGTCCTTCCCCACGGTCCGTCGCGTCGGACCGCGTTCGGAGTTCCCCACCTCCTCCCGCGACTCTTGGCCACCCGCCGACGTCGACGGTCACCGTCGTCCGCAGTTACACCGAGTCCGCTCGCGCATTCGCATTAAATTTCGAATCCGCGCGGCGCGCGTGCACCTCACCACCACGCGTCGTCCATCCTCCCTCTCTCTCTCTCTCTTTCTCTCTCTCTCTTTTTTTCCCTCCTCTCCTCACCAATCCCCCTCGTCGGTGACGCGTCTTCAGCGCCAGTTTCTCGCGAGGGATTTTCAAATCAGCGCCGCGCGCGTGATCGAGTGCGAGTGCACGTGTCCGTCTCGCATCGTCCTTCGGCGATTGTCGTCGGTTCTTCGGCGAGGGTGTCATCGGGCGAGAGGAGATATGCCCGTCGTTGTCGGTCGCGTCGCGTACGAGTCGCTCGCATCGAAGGAAGAAGGGAAGAACGTGTGATTGTTGCGTGCGTAGCGTGCAGGTTATGGATCAAGAGGGATTATAATCGGCGCGATTACGGTGAGCTTGAATTGTCGATGCTACGAGTACTTATGCGAGAAACGAGCCTCGCGCGAATTAAAAGGATCCGGTTCGGATCGCGTTTACTGCATCCTCGAAAAGATTCGCATCTGCGAGTCTTTTGTTGCGAGTGAAGTGAGAAACAGATCTGTGACGCGGAGATTCGCGCGCGATATAGAAGGCGCATTTTTCTCGTATCTATCTGTGGCATCGATGATCGGATTCGCCGAAAAGTTACACCGGCTTTAATCTCGATTAGAGAGAATTTTCCCGGAGAACCGTGTGTCCTAAGTGCTAGGAGAAGAAGGAGATAACGAAGGAAAGAATCTCGCGGGGACACTTGCACCTTTTTAACGATATAACCTTATCGACAAACATAAAAGGTACTCGCTCAATTTTGTATACGTCGTGTTCTAAAATTCGAGAGTAAAATATATACTTGGCATATATAATTTATCAGTAGTCAGTGTAGCATGGAAAAATAATATGTACAGTAATATATGATAAAACAGCTGATACATAAATTTAAAATCTATTTGACTGAGATAACACTCGGGAATCTGTACGCGATCGTGATTGAACTTTTGATCTTCTTCCGGTTAATTAATGCGAGACGATGATGCGCGACGGGAGCGGGAACAAACGACACATTCCTCTTCTCCGCATTTCGACGTAAAAGTCGTCGCGACTTTTATTTCTGGCCGAATATCCGCGGCTCTTTGCGTAACTGGGAAGACGAGTTTTTTTAAACGATCGTTCTTCTTATTTTTTTCCTTTTTCTCGCTTAATCGAGTTTTGTGTCTCTCCATTCCCGCGCCGTCCGACCGAAGACGCGAATAAAAAGCTCGTATTTTCCTTGACTCTTTGCATTCTGACGTCGGGGTGCCGTCAATAAACATAAACACCCGCGCGCTCGATCTCGAATCAATTTTCGTCTTTTGCTCTTCGCATAATATTATTCTTTCCTATTTTAATCATATTTACACGCCTGTATTTTTCATTAGGAGAAACGGCATCCGTATGAGATTACACCAAGAAGAGAACGCAAAGAGTCAAGTCTCGCAAAATTCGACGATCGTGAATCGCATTGTACGAGGGGACAAATCATCTCTCTCCTGATAGTGTGTTGATGTGCAGTGATCATACGGAAATTGCATACGGAATCACGCGGAAGCGAGAAAACAGCTGCCGGAAATCTCACGCCGGAAAAAGAAGCACGCAAAACGTCAATCTATCGCCGCGAAACGGCGTCTGTGTGCATCATACGTGTGGAGAGGAGAACAGCTTTACATCAGACGACTTCCACGTTCGTCATCGTGATGATGTTGAAGACCTCGCCGGCCGTAGCGATGGAAACATGAGGACCGTGATAGATCGCGCATCCAATCGACGAAACTTCACTCCTACTAACTATAAATGACGTAAGTACCCTTCTCGTTTCGCGACGTACAAGTTGCACAATTTGTCATTTCCGATACTCGAATGCAGGACGCATAATAGCAGAGCTTATTTCTAAATCGTCTTAGAAAAATGTATTTCGTAAAATACTCGAGGTTATACGTTACAATAATAAACTCATAAACGTACACAATCTTTTTATTTCAAATATATGTATATTTAATACGATTTCGAAATGAGTTCTTCGATTGAGAATGAAATGAAATTAAATGCAAAATACCATAAGTTTATTTTTTTTTTGTATTAGATGTATGAAGTGTTTATTTAAAGAATCCTTTTTTTAAATCTTACAAAAAACTGTTTGATAAAACTGGCCAAAATATATTGCACTTAATTACAACTATAAATATTATTTTTGTACAAAAAGGATCAATATTAATAGGATCGGATTAATGCAAAAAAATCTTGCATCTTTGAATTTTAATTATCGGTTTTTTCTCTTTTTCTATGACTTCTAGTTATTTTAAATCTAATTATACTTATTTAATTGTGAATTGCCGAGTTGTGTTAAATTAATTTAATTTCGCAATTATTACAAGTCACTCTATACAAATTTTATCTATATTTTAGAAAATTTTTTTATAGTATTGAGCATTTTAACATTGAGTTTGTTAAACACGTCGCGATTTCTACACATATATAATATCCGAATAAGTCAATTACTATATCCCATAGACCACACAGTGCGTTTATCTAGCACAACGCTTACATAATATCGCACGCGAATAGTTCGAATAAATACGTAATTAAAAGTATCACGTGAAGTTACGAGCCTAAAGGAGCTAAACAGATAGCATTCTTGGCGACGTTGCAAAACTATCGATGAGGAATGCAACAAAGAATGTCAATTATCGCCTCCGCTTATTCTTGTATTTTACGTAAAAAAGGACATGGAAAGACGCGTACGACTTTGATTATTTTTATTGTTAACAAAATTTCGACTATTCTCAATTACATACCCGTGTTTCTTTTCTTATTAATCTCGTGATTCGTAAGTAAATAGTCTTTGAATATTTAAAAATATTATTGATCGAACTGATTTTGATTTCTACTGGTATATGCTATGAAGAATCGAAGGCACCTGTACGTGCTTCATCGCAAAGCACGTGGCGGTCGCACGGAGCGCAGTTTGTCAAACAATCGTGTGCTCCGAGCGATTCAGGTCTCGCGTTACAAGAAAGAGAGCACCTATCTCTTCCGTTGTTAGACTCGTTCGTGCACGCGTAGAGCGTCGAAAGCGAGATTTAATCACTCTCGTTTCTTCTCACCAGTCTCTCTACCAGTCGAGAAACGAGGCGTCTCCTATATCTCTAACGAAGAACGTTGCGTGTCGTACTTTTTTAGAAGGAAGCGGAATCTCTTTCATTCTATCCTGAGTTGTCCTCGCAACCCAGATTAAATTCACGTTTATTCTTATAATAATTTCGCATAATTTACACTATCACATTTTCTTTTTTTTTTTTTTTTTTTTTTCATCAAAATTTGATATTTCTGATTATTATTTGCGAATGTCCCTTGCACATAGTAATTGTTAGTTGTTGTTATATGAACAACGTAAGACGTAAGAGAGCGCGGATATAGGAAGAGAAATGCGATATGTTTAAAACGAGCGGAGAATAAAACTTTCATTTTCAATATTTACAATCTCCTCGTATGCACGAACCGAAACCGGTGCGGATCGATGTTGTATAACATATATATTTATACGGCTCATACGTTTTTTGCTATCTTGATTAGAGAACTGCTAATAATTTTAATCAAGAATCGTACTTCCGAAGTGGAAATACTAAATAATACTTGCGATATCGTTTGAAAAGAAAAAAATTATTTGCATCTGGGGAATTTAAATGACCACGGAGAAAATAAGAGAAACTGCGATTTTAGCAGCAATTTGAGTTGTCTACAATAATTATACTTTTCAAACAGTGCTGATTTTTTATCATCTTGTCTTATTTATGATCGTCTGGCCGTACAACATTACCTGCCTAAACTTGCGTTACGGGTTTCGCATTGCAGCTAATCAATCGCGGGTCCATTAAAGTCTCAAAACTCGATATAATTAACGATAAGCAAGATAATTTCTATTATTAGTATACTTATTACATAATCGTATTTTACATTTGTGACATATCTCAATAATGTTTTTAATGGACGCGATATTATACAAAAACTAATTAAATTACAAATTTCTTTGAAATAAAAGAAAAAGCTACAGACATAGAGAGAAAAAAAAAAGAGGAAGGAGAAAAGACAATGTAAAATCCCGCGTTTTAATTGCATATTAAAATCCATTTCCTCTACACATACTTCTATCTCTTCAAATATCCAGATATAATTATTAAAAAATAAATTATGCGCTCGTACGTGTAAGTGATTTTAATTTAATTTACATAAAATGATCGTACCGAGTTAATTCACTTTTGCATAACACTATGCAATTATAGGTTGATATACGCGATACTATATCGCCGAGGTTGCTTTCTGTTTCTTTGCTCTAACGGCTGATTTAATTTACTGCCGCTTTCACGTACAAGCAAAGCTGTTACTAATTGCGCGGAAATATTCAACGTGCCGAGTTTCCTTCCGCTCGGCGTGTTATTTCCTTGTATCGCGTCTCGCGGAATTTATAAAGCTTCTAAAATCAGAATTTTGATACGTTATTCAACTAAAAATCTCATGCTCTTCTACGAAGGGGGGAAAGGATAGAAGGGAGGGAGGCACTTTCACACCGGGGAGAAAAGCAACGTTTCGATAAGTATTCGCGGTGAATAGTTCACATACGAAGTAGGACACACAAGTATTGCGTCGAAAACTCTTTATTAATCCTTTGAGAAATTTTATGCATCGTGTTCTCTCTCTCTCTTTGTTTTGACATAAATCTATTATTTTAAACGTGAATGTAATAAAAAAGAGAAACTTTTGGTTATCGTATAAAAATCGTATTTAAGTTTGAGAAATAAATATATTATCTCTCAATAAAAAAAGTATCTTAATAAAATACATTTTTCAATAAAAGTATCTCATAAATATATATTTATCGATATATTTGATAATAATGCGATTAATTAGAAATATCTATTTATCGAAAATAATATGCTGGGCGCAAAGGATTAACGCGATAACTTTTTCGGAGAGAATGTATGGAGTTTCAAAACGTTGCAGCGGGAAATCTCTTAATCTGTCTTGTCGAACAATCGCGGTTTATCGTCTATCACTCGATATCTCTCAAGACAGCGTGTCAATGATGGGAAAACTGCGCAAGCGATCCTGCCGATAATATGATAATAAAGATACGTGTGGTGTATAAGCGTTACGTCCGGGTTGGCAGTTATCTCCGAGACCGCCTGTAATTCCCTGACAAGTACGTCGCTGTCGAGCACGTAAAGGACATCACCGACAATCATTGTTAGATAATAAGTCCACTCGCGGGAAAAAGTTACGTTCGTGCGGTCTAGATTTTTACACTTCTGATTGAGGTGCCTGTAATCCAGGTATTTTTTTTTTATGTCCTCCTTTGTTATATCGCCGCGCAAAGCATTTCGCATACAGTATGTACATGAAAAATGGAAGTTTTCTTTTAATGCTCTAAACTAGATCATTGCATCATATTGTAATAAAATTTACATAGACAGTGCATAATTTTGTTTTCTACTAAACAACAAATCTGGTTTTTTTTTTTCTAAAAACACGACTAAATTTCTTCCACATTTTTCGTTTATTGTAAGTTGTAACAGTTACGTAAAAAAGTATGTATGTTGTAGATTTGTTGTAATCAGAGAAGCATACACTTGGCATAAATAACAAATTGAATTAATATTATCAATTTGATTAAAGATATCATTTATCGTTTGAAGGAAATTAATTTGTAAACCAATGATTATACGAAAGATCCATGTCTTTTTCTGAGTAACAACCGTATTATTAACCGCATGTATTAATGCAATTTATTATTAGATGCATGAAGCGTGAATAAAGTACATTTCAAATCCGTGATGTGACTGTAAACAAATTAAATCATAAATCTCAATTATAAATATTCTAATATAATGCATAAAACCTTGAAAACGCCGATTATCATGTAATATAAGTAATATCGGTATTATACGAGGACTGCATTTATGATGCAAAAGACTAAGAGAGATTATACACATTCTAATATATATATATATATATATGATATTGCAAATTGTAATCGCCGTTTTAACTACCACAATTGCTTCACTGTTCCCCATTACACAATCTTGCTCCATCGCACCCGCATCTTTAAAAGGGGTTGAATATTGCGGAGTTTGCAATCTCGTAACCAGTTCTTCGCTCGCAAGTTAATAGCTTACATATTTCTGAGATCTTCCGTGTATAAATCCATCTATAAGTACAAATTTCTAGAAAGCGCAACATCTTTTATTAATTCTTTAAAAAAAAAAAAAATGTTTTAAATATTCTCTCGACATCGACGTCGACATTTGTGATTTGAAAATAATCTAAAAATATCCTTACACGACACAAAAGAACGTGAAAATAATGTGGATGGTGTAATGATTATAAATACAAAAGAATCGCTATATGACTCAGATGGATTTTGTCATCGTTGCCGTCGCAAATATTCTGGTCACTTAGAATTTTCGTGCGAGAATCTACAATTCAGAAAGATTCGAGATCTCGGTAACGTCAGTCATCGTGTAACGGGGCGATGTAGGTGACGGTTAAAAACGCCATTGCCGGCGAGTAGAAAATTACGACTCGCGTACAAGCTTGGCGCGGCCAGCTGGATCAGCTGTGCGCTCCGCTCCGTTGCTGATTGTACGCTCGATTATTGCAAAAGTGAATCGGCGATTTCTTGAACGTCGAAAGTCCTTTCCCGCGAGACTGAATCGCGGACGTCGAATCGTGGCTCTCGCCATACTTGATCGACGTCGATTCCGTGAAAGAGAAAGAGAGAGATAGAGAATGGTGCCAGCACGAC